GTAAGTATACATCATATATTTACACACACACACGCGCGCGCGCGCGTGCACACACGCATACGCACACGCACACACGCACGCATATGCCCATACGCACAAACACAGTCCGTCTGTCACATACAGTATATTATTCCTATCACGTTTCCACAAAATATCTTAGTATTATGTGACAGCTATGCTATCTTTCTTGCATTATTCGTGTAATAACTTACGGTAGTAAAAGCAATGTATTTAAATTAATGTCTATAAGAGAGATGAAAGAGAAAAAAAATCTTTCTATGGCATAAAATAATATTTTACAGAAAATATGAAGAAAAGCGTACAATTTAAAGTAGAGAAGACGTTTATTAAGTGATATTTGAAATCATTTAAAGTAAATTTTATGTACATCAAAAATAAAAAATTATTAAAAATACTTAAAATATTATAAATAAAAATATTTAAATTATAAAGAGAAAGTGGATAATTAACTAATAATAAATTGGCCTTCATTTTAAAATAGATAAAAAATTAGTATATGTGTGTATATATATATATATGTGTGTATCTAAAATGTTTGTTTTCTATAAAATAATATCTTAAAAAATACATATGTTTAAAGATATAAGATATATATTTTTTTAATTTACTTATTTAAGAATTTATGTTGATTGATTTGAAAATAAGGATCAAAATTGGTTATCAAAATTGGTTATGAGTTTTCCAATTATTTAACAAAACTTCTTGTTCGCATAACAAATGATAACGAGAAGAATCGTAATGTAGTATTGTGCTGATGCAGCGAAGAGTATCATACAATGTCGCACACAGTATAGAAAATATGCTTTTGCAATCAAGCTGAATTTAAGGATATCTATTGGGATATTTCCTGTAGTGATTGTCACTAAAAACGTGCTTCGCAACAAACATCGCTATTCCAAGGAAAAAGATTCTCTAAATAACGATGTCGCATTCTTCATTTTCGTGTGATAAAAATATGAAATTCTTGTGAGAAAAAATGTTTACTTTCAAAAATAATATTTAAAAAATATTTAACACGAAATATATATATATATATAAGGTATATGTATAATATAAAAAATAATATATATGTATGGAATATAGTTTTCATTTGTTCACTTTTAGACATTTTCTCACACAAATTCTGTGCATGTTTATTATAACAAATGATATTATACACACATATTCCTAATTCTTTAATAATATGTAATTAACAATACCGAAACTATTTTTATCATGCGATTTTTTTAGCTTCTTATACAAAAAATTAAACTTTTGGTTAATAAATTTTTATTTGCAAAAATGTAATTGTTTTAAAATAAATTTTTAAAAGATATATATGTGTATAATGTATAAATAAAAAATCTTATTTCTAAACTATATAGAAATTGCTTTCAAATGTCAATTAACAAACTGCTATTAATTAGTTGCCAATGCATAAACTTTATCATCGGTCTTTTTATTTGTGATCTTATTACATTCGTAAGCTAAGTTATCGAAGAAACGATAAAGCTTCGCAATGGACAGTAAAATTACGATTCCATCTTCTTTTCTCATCTTCGTTCTTATTTTTATGAGAAATCAATTGTGAAGAGCAAACAGATATAACACAAATTTCAATAAGAAGATTTGGACGTGATAAAATTTAATTCCTTAATAATATCTCAATGATACTCTAATAATGAATATATATAATTAAAAAGATATTTAAAATTTATTATAGACGTATATTTTTTAGGAATGATTTTTCTTTAGCAAAAGGATTTAAGGTATTTTAAATTTTCATTTTGTATTTCAATCGTTGTGTTAATCATTATCGAGTCGAAAGGATGCGGAATTGAATTTTCATTGATAAAATATGAGTGATAAAACTAGAGGGATAAGCTTATTTGAAGAACTAGTAGGGTTGAAACTGTGACTCGCTTTTTTGAGGATTTTTACGTTTGGGTCGATAGCAATTCTAGGAAATGTTGTTTATATCTCTTGTGAAGTTGTTATTACAGAATCTGTTTTGCAAAATATCGTAACTCAGCATGCACATACTTTTAGAAATGTTGTAAAACTCAAATCTTTGCAAAAAAAATCCTTGCTATCTAAATAAATAAATTTTTTAATCATTCTAATCCGCAAATGAAAATATATTTCAAATGAAAATATATTTCAAAATGGAAAAACTACAATATTACTTAAAAAAATAAATCTACACTTCTACGTGTGTTATATAGTGGTGGCCATAAATATAAAACATTTTCAATTTATTATATTTTGGAAAAGGCAATAATAAAAACTAAAGTAGGATTAAAAAATTTTTAATCGTTATAAAAATGAGAATTAAAAAGAATTAAAATTTTAAAATTGTTATAAAAAATAACCTATTATTCTTTAATAAAAACTGTTTTTTATTTATTTAGTCTTCGTAATTTATTTTTCGTAAATATAAAACATTTACGTCAATTTGTGGGTCATGCTTTATATTTATGACCGAGGCTGTACTTATTTTTACTCTTATATATTTTTATATTTTACTCAGATAACCTTTAAAAATCTTTCGCGATATAAAACATTACAAAACATTATAGAACATGGCATGATTATGTCTTTATGAAAATGTACATTGTTTGGAAATAATTTCTTATTATTGCGACGTTTATGATACAGATGTTGCAGTACAGAAATGCCGAAATTATCAATGCATTTATTATATAACGTTCGATGTTATTTTATGTTCCGTATTAATAGTTTTTACTCATGCATAAAAGCAGAGCAACGTGACGTAAAATACCGAAACGAGCTATAAACTGATCACGTATCTGAAGGTTTATTTCTCGGTTAAAGGTGTTATTCCATAAACGTCTTTTCACAAGTTAGTTAAGAGTCGCACGGCGTCTCTATGGTTGCAAAAATCTCACGCTTAATATCCGACATTAAATTTCAAAATCCACGTAACGTATTATATAAATTTATTATAATGTTAAGGTTTGTATTTTCTCTAACGAAAATGATTTTCGGCGAGTTTCTGTGTCATTTTAATGGCTAATTCTTGTAATAATAAAGAAAAAATATAAAATGTACAAAGTATATTTATATATATATATATTAACTTTATCTATCTAATTTGGAACGAAGAAATTTTCCGAAGTATTAATGAGTATTGCGCTTGTGTGTCTTTTAGGATACTCGAAGTCTATAGACAGTGTCAAATATTTACACTATCTTAAAGAACAGAGAAGCTCCACTGATAATCTTGATTAGTAGATATAATCCATTCGCAAATGTTATATTACATTTCGTCGCCGTGCACCTTGTTGCAGATCTACTGGTTGGCCTAATATCCGTGTTAACGGATATAATCTGGAGAACGACTGTTGCGTGGTATGCGGGTAATATAGCTTGCAAACTGATAAGGTTTATGCAAGCTGTAGTAACCTACAGCTCGACCTACGTCCTCGTGGCTCTATCAATCGACAGATATGACGCCATTACCCGTCCGATGAACTTCTCCGGCAGCTGTGAGTACATTAGCGCGCATTATGATCACAGCTCTTAATGTTGGATCCTTTCACAAAGCGGTACTTCGAGCTAAACTCATTAATACAGTTTAGTTGTAACTTAGTAGAATATATAGCAAGATTCTCTTGAGACATGAATGTTCAATCTCAAAGTTAAAAGGCTATCTTCATGGAGAAATCTTTAATTAAATTGAGTAAAGGGAAAGAGAGAGAGAGATAAATTATCATTACAGAACTGCAAATTTCATAAAAAAAAGCATTTAAAAAAAAATCTTGTAAACTCACCGGATAAAATATATTAAAAAAAGAAAAATTATTATTTTAAATTTATATAGTTCAAATAACTGAAAATTAGAAAAAAATGCACGGAAAAATGATTTTGCTAAAGTGTCTAAAAATTTAGCTAGAGATACAGCTTTAAAAATAAGTTGATTAAACTATTAAAATAATCAGAAATATAAAAATTTCAAGCATTATAGTCAATACTTTAGAAAGTTTTAACAACCAGTTTGGGCGTCCTATATAATTATTTTGATAGTCCAACAAAATTATTATCAAATCTGTATATAAATTTGTAGGTACAGTAAAATTATTCTTTCCGTGAATATTAAATCAATAAAAAAATAAATTTTGAAGCAAACGCAAAATAAAAATATAACCTTAAAAACGAAAATATAGATCTTCAAAGAAATATATAAATCTTTAATAATTATCAATATGAAGGAACAGAATATGATCACACAGAATTCGATCATTATTTTCGCGTCAATATAATCACAACTGTATGATAGCAGCGTTATTTCATCAATATTCAATTTGGAGTGTTGCTCACAGCAAGTCAAAGACTATTTACTAGTATCTGTCAATCAGCCGACGCACTGAGTGCAATTTACCGCACGGTACGGGTGCTCCTTCCTCGCCTTTATATCACTTTGACATCCTTCAGATTCCTCTATTCTACTCGTATTTACCATCAAGAAATTGCTTTGACTTCCGTATATCAGATATAAGCTATGCATCTATCTTTGCTCAGGGAACTTACGATAGAGTTGCTAAGGAAAAAGTAATAAAAATCGATCTATCCGAGACTTTCTTTAGAAATATTTCAGCTCCAAGATAGCGGCAGCACTATCAATATTGACGGCCAAATTATTTCATGATCTGTAACATAATATCTTTGCCGCAGTTCCTTTCAGAATTAATATTGCGTACTTTGTAGATCATGTAGCGCATGTTTCTTCCGTTTTTCTTTTTTTATTAGCTTCTTTTTGTGACAGGATAAAGGACAAAAAAAACGATAGGTTCTCTTATCTTTCTGCTCGGTCGTATCGTCTATCACACAGAGGCATCTCACGAATTGTTGTGGCGGATATTCCGCACCAGAATAAAGTTTATCTTCTATATATTTATCTTCTATCTTCTATATATCGATGTTCTCGTAGCTTGTCGATAGGTAAAGAAATTCGTAAGTGTCAGAGTCCACATACACAGACTACCAATCACGCTCAACTGTCGCACGATACTTCACCACTGGATGATTTTAATACAAAAAATATTTTTGCCTCTATTTTTGTCATATTTTGCTCAATTTTCAATATTATACGAACTGTTGTAAATTAAAATAGATTTAATTTGTTTAGAAACAAATTTAAATCACTCTACGTCGTAAAGACGTATATAACAATACTATATATATGTATATACTTAATATATTTATACTTATTAAAAATATATAACGTTTAACGATAAAAGAAAACAGTTTCATCCTATACATAATTATTTGATGGCCTAACAAAATTAGTTTTAGCTTTGTATTCAGCTGTTTAGACACTTTAGCAATACCGTTTTTTATGCATTCTATTATATATTAATCCGTGCAAGTTTTAATTACAATTCGGTTCAGGTTTTAAAGCAAATAGTGGTAGATTTCAGTTAATGATAACCCATACACTTGTTATATCTCAATGTCATTAAACAGAGATTAAAGTACGTATAGTATTGTGTCGAAGAAACATAAAAGAACATGATGAAACAGCGCGGGACAATAATTCAATCAGATTAAGCTTTAATTCCAGATCTACCCATCACGTTATAAATTTTTATACACAATCATTCTTCCAATTACCAACGATTTATAATTATCAATCGTGCACATCGTAATTATATAGTTGCAAGATTAACGGACTCGTATCGATGATATATGTTATGTAATATCTTTTTAAGCCGAGACAATTGCCGATGCTACTAATTATTGAAAATAACAGATAAATGACACTCATAAGGATAACGATGTCAAAATATATTATAATATCGAAGTGTAATCGATCATTCTTTGCGTTACCAGAAAGCTAAATAAATGATGTAGCATGTTATAATCATATCATATCACGCTACACCGCTATTTTAGGTTTTAAGCTTATTACAGCAGTAACAGATATTTTGTCTCGATTTTTCAAACAGGTTTCGCCACCCGTCATGAGCACCGTTCGTTATGACGAATCTTTTCCTTTTTGGTTTTTTCGTTGGTTGACGTAAAACTCGACATTCACGAAAATAGCTACGCTTCTTTCATAACATTGCATACAAAGTTGTGTACGCCTACGTCAATTTTCCGCAAAGAAAATGTTTATTAAAAAACAAATTAGAAATAAAAATCCCGCGTTAAATTTTTAATATCCGTTGAGCACAAAACATATGTGATATCTTTTATTAATTACAAAATTGGATATAATCTATTAACTGACAGGCATTAATTTTGATCGCAGGGTGGAGAGCTCGAGCTTTAGTGATTACGGCTTGGGCGCTATCAGCATTGTTCAGCATGCCGATCGTATTCCTGTACGAAGAGAAACAAATACAGGTACACGCGTATTTTTTACAAGGAAACACGGGGAAGTATTAACTTTCAATTTTAATAAGCTTTTAGTAGTTGCCTGCCAAAATAAAAAATATTTTTTTTTTATACTTTTAAAGGGTAAAACATTAACCTTTAAAGAAAATTGGTTAGTTTCTTTTTTTCAAACAAATATCGTCGAAATTATAAAAAATGAAAAAAAATTTTAATAAAAATTGAACGGGTTTAAAAGTATTTTATATATATATTCATGACAAATTTACTTTGAAAGAAACTAATTAATTAAGTATTTTATCTCCTAAAATATGAATTAAAAGCTTATCAAAATCGGAGGAGGACACTTCTCTTATTCTTTTTAAATAAATATCAAAATGATTAAAAAGACCTATTTTGACATTTCCTTACATTTTTGTTTAAAAAAAAGTCGATTTTCGATTTATTTATTTATAATATTGTACATTCTTACACTTTGGAAAAACCGCGTATTATCAAGATACCTATAAAGAAAATTATACATATCTTGCTAGATAAAGCGTCAACATTATACACAACTATTTCCTTATTTTTTTGGAAAATTCTTTTAATGATAATGATTTCAAAGCTTGACGCTCACGACGAGCGTAATCTCAAACAATTATTTTTAGGACACGCCGCAGTGCTGGATCGATTTAGATCCGACTCAATGGAAGATCTACATGAGCCTGGTGAGTTTTAGCCTCTTTATAGCACCCACACTGATAATAGGAGGCTGTTACACGGTCATCGTAGTCACGATATGGTCGCAAGGAGCAGCGTTACGCCAGGGACCTACCAGAGATACTCGGAGGGCGTCCTCGAGAGGTCTCATTCCCAAGGCGAAAATCAAGACCGTAAAAATGACCTTCGTCATAGTATTCGGTAAGATATAAATCATATATATAAAGAAATGATACAAGTGTAAAATGTAGTTCTTTAAATACGTTATTATTATATTTAATTAATAATTGTAAATCATTGAATAAGAATCTTCATAAAACATACAATTTTTTAATCAAATTTGCCTAAAAAAATCGAGACATAATAAAATTAAGCAGTAGAAATATAATCATCTCGCATAAGACGCTTAGAATTAAAAAATTCTGTTATATTGTGTCAAGATTCGCTTTAAAGGAAATTCAGGTTTACATGCAGTAAATCTTTTTAGTTAAATATTTATATAAGATTCTTCGGCGGCTTCGTATAAAGTTATACTTCAACATCTGGTATATAATTTTATGATCAGCCTTCATCAATTCGTATAGGTATGAAGAAAATTATTAGATCCCGACAAACCATAACATATCTGCTTTAAGGTACAAAGTTCCCTTTTTTTCCTTTGACGTACACGAGTACTTTCGTAAATGATAATAACGGAAAGACGACTGCGTCAATATTTCGCGACAGTAAAAAGTAATAAGTTTCTATTCAGCATTTCCTATGATTTTTTGATACGAAATTGAGCCACTTTATTTGCGCGGTGTACCACACAAGGAGATAAGCAAACGAACCTGCTATTTGATATTCTTGTGAGAATCTACTAAGATGGAAGAGATCGTATATTATATACAAAATGTTCTTTTTTCCGAGAGAAGCGGAAGAAATTATAAAGAAATTAATAAAGTACGGATGAAAAATATGAAATCTACTCATTTATTTCACGAGCGATAAGACCGTTCTCTCAGTTTAATTAATTTCAGTTTAGTAATTAAATACTGAACATTTGATATGAAAAAGAATTACTGTAATGTCAAAAATAATCTTATAAAAAGAGCTTACCTAGATAATCCTTTTTTAAAAGACATATCTAACAATTTTATTAGTTTTGTATGCGTGTGTATGTGTGTTTAGAATTCCATAAATATTCTCATAAACCATATCTATAACGTTTTTAGAGCGATCAGTCTTGGAGCGTGGAATTTCAATATAAAGTTGTTATTTTGTAGAAACATAAAATTTCTGATGAGACGTGATTATTTTGTTGGTCGTATATTGTAGCGAAAATAGACTATGAGAGACTTATGAAACGTTTCTCTATATAAATATATTTAATATACATATGCATATATATCTCTACACACATATAGACACACATGACCATACATTGATATTCTTTTAATTAAAAAACGACATAACTAAAAAAACATAATTTTCGAGTTATTACCATGAATGAGTTAAGTAAATATTATCTTATCAATCATTAAAAGTTAATCTCATAAAAAATCGTCGAAACAAGCAAACATAGCAATTCAAAAAGAGTAGTTTAAAAAAATTGTCAAAATCGTTACAAATTAAAAAGAGTGGTTTTTTTAAAGTTACAAGACGAAAATGACAAAAACGACATTTGATCGTGTTACGAATACATTCTTTTTGTCTATATTATTTGATTAATCGATAATTTTATCAAGTTGAAAAATAGTTTTTCTTTTTTCCTAAAATAATTTTGTTAATTACTTTTAAAATAAGGAAATAATATACTAATGTACAGTTAGATTTATACAATATGTGTAACTAAGATTTATGATCTCTATAAATCTAATCAAAATAATCGCGCTTTTTGCTTAGCAACCGTGAAAATTATTTCATCTTTTTATTTTACGTTAATAGCATTTTCACAAACGTGTTTGTAATCGTAGAACATTGTCAAGTTCTTTTCAAATGAATAGTGTATATCCTTTTAACTCTAAAGAATGTACACAGGGAATCGCTAATCAAATTCGCAATCGACGAAATTTCTTTTTTTAGCTGACGACGAGAATACGAGTTTCGACGATGCGATAAAATAACTGGAAGAACTTTTTTTTAATATTTTCTGAAAATCTCAAAAATGGAGAAACCGCAAAATGACGAAAATTACGTATACTGTGTGAATTTTACGTGTGATGTGTCTTGTTCTATGATTTGAGATTAATATACGTATATATATTTATAATGTGTCGCACATATTGAAGTTGTGTTCGTTGGTAATGAGTTTCCTAGTTCATACTTTGAAACAATCGATTTGTAGGCAAACGGGATCCCCCCTACTGAATCTATGAGCTACATATTAATTGATCATATTTTATATTCTAAAGTTAATATATACATATCTATATAAATATCTAAAAATTTTTCTGATAGATCCATTATTTCAATTAAAAAATTATTTGACTTACTCATACTCATAGTCGCAGTGGCGAAGTTGAAACTGCATTGATCTGCAAAATACAAATATAAAATATAAATTGTAATATTCCAAAAAATTTATACTGCTAAAAATAATAATTACTTGCGTTGAGTTTTTTGTTCATCTTTCTTATAAATGGATATTTAATATAAAATAATTATATTAATTTTCGAAAAAATATATTTTTTTCTTTTAAGTGCCAACTGTTATATGTATATATAATTTTTTTATAAATAAAAGTTTTTTTTCTTTTAAATCTTATTCGTAAGTTATCCAAATAATCGATTAATTAACAAGAATAAACATAAAATAACGATCTATCGATTAATCTGGCAAGTAACAAGTAATATATAATAGCAACTACTTAATATTTACCCCATGGTTGCATCGCCATCACTTGATACTTTCCCGAATCTCCTCTTCACTTGCGGAATCCTTCTTTCTTTTTCATAGCACCCATTCATAATACTGTAAATTACAATCATTATAATACAATTATTAGAATATAATATCTTACGATGTTTTATGCAATCATTGTATTATATTACAACGATATAATAAAAAAAAAACACTAAAAAGATATGATCATATAATATAATGACTCGTATGTGACATATTTTATAAATTAATGTATGAATTTTGTGAAAAAAAACAAATACTTAATAATCATTGCTTTTTGTTACATATTGATTAGATTCGATAAAACATTCCATACTTTTAATCCTAAAATGACATGCAAATTAACTTTAAATATTGAAAGTTCGAAGAAGAAATCCTAGTTAAATTCGAATCCAAGCTTTTATATTACAGAAATCTCATTCAATATTGAAAGATAACGATTAATTATTTATTTTGAGCATTAAAAGTAACGATGATTGAACAATAATGCTTTTAATAAGTAATTACTAATTAATCACTTCCATTTATTAAATCTCTATGAGAGAAAAATATATAGTGAGTGCAAAAATAATTCGTATAAAACAATATTTTTTAAAAAAACTTTATTTTTAAAAAGTAAATATTGTATTATCCAGCAAAAAATAAGTCATTGAATTGACGTCGAATCGATATCAATACGATGATTTCAACACTAATTCGACGTCGATTCAACGTTTAATTGACAATCATTTCTTGCTGGATAATAACAATTTGGTAATTAACAATTTATTCATAAAGAATAAAACATAAACTGTATGTTTCTTAAAATCATATATACCAAAAAAGATGTGCATTAATTATAGAAAATATATCATCCGAAAAATAGGCGCAAATTAAAAATTCTATTGTTTGGATGCTCAAAAAGTATTCGTACAGTTGAGAAATTTGGCTTCTAAATTCAGGAATACATGCAAAACTCGTTTGTTTATGTTAGAACGGAATATATTCATTGTATAAAATGGCTAATTAATGTTTATTTCTTACAAATAAGACTTTCTTTATAAAAAATTTCTTTGTATGAATATACGCGTCTTGCTCTCACTATATTTATCGTCTGTACATATTATAATGAAATAGTTTTTATAGCTCTTGTCGTCGTGATTTCTACTTATGTATGTATCTATATATATCTGAACGTATCTATACTTGAAGTAATCAGCATTTTCAGATATGCTTATGTGGGTAGTAAAAATTAAATCGCGGTAGATAATAAATAATACAATAGCTAATCATTCATAGCAAGAAAGCCTTTTGTAGAATTTATTTTGCATGCATAAGAATAACGATGACACGTGGAACGGCTTATGGCTTTATCTTATACGCACATGATGAGTCGCACGAATGCACGAATAACACAATAATCTATACGCCTAGCGCGCGATAAACACAGCGCGATGTATTAGTACAAACAATTACCGAGGTCACGCGCCAGCCCTACTTTCGTCGGTGCGTATTTTTAAAATACAACGGCAAATATACAATCTGAACTTTATGTATCAATTAAGCTGATTTCAATGATCGGCCTATTATCATTACAAGTTTCACTTTCAACATTCATCAGCATTGCGTTAGATAACGGTAAGATAATAATTAATTCCATTTGACTTAGAATATTAATCTTAACAGAAAAAAGAGATCAAATAATCTACGTATAACAGTTAAAATTTGCCATTAAGAAATAATATTAGTTAATTACTATAATATATACATAATATCGAAGCAATAATCGTTCACATCAATCAGCTGAACAGTGAAAATCAATAACAGATATTAGGATAATACCTCCGCTATGTATATAAGAGCGTGAACTCTACGTAATATTAACTTAATTGCCTGTAATTTGAAAACTATTATTTGTAACTATGATGTATCGACATTTTTATATTAAAATGATTACTTTTAATTAATTTCCGAAGTACTATCAGAGAATTTTGGAGATTAATGTATATACATATGTATACAACATATAAAATTGTAATAGGATTTTAATATTCTAGAGATCATTCAAAGTTAAAAATCTAATTTATGCTTTCACATAGTCATAAAATTAACGTAGAAATATAATTTTAAATTGCAATAAAATTATTATAAATACCCTTATATTAACCCTTTGAAGCTGACATCAAAAATAAAATAGTTAAAATAAGGGAAAATGGTGAACTGTGAATATCAGCGAAAAGTTAAATATATAAAACTATGGTTATTTATCAAATAATAGAAATTTTTATTCAAAAATTATTCCAGTCATTTAGCATTAAACTACAATAATTCATATTTTGTATATGTGTTTGTATGTGTAATATAAGTTAAAATTTAAAAAAACGATCAAAACCTTGCCGTTTCGGAATTACCTGCCGTGTCGCCAAACAAAGCATTGCTGAATCGGGTTTGTTTCTTGTTTGAAATTTTAGTTTACATTAATAATTTATATAATAAATGTCAATTATACTGTAGTTTATAAAGCAATATTTTTTAAATATAAAAACTTCTATAATTTGATATATAAATAACATTGGCAATATTTAAATTTTTCCTTAAGTGTTTATAATTTTTTTCAAAATCAAAATAAAATTAACTAGTTTTGTGATACATCTATTTATAATACACAAATAATTTATTCTTTTTACATAATCATATGTTCTATTTGTTTGAATGTATTGATAATATATTACAAATAAAAAATCCATTCCGTATTTTATATTTCGTTGCATTAATCTATGCTGAAAATACATCTCATTATATTGCCTCCTTCTTAGTTTTCAATTTTTTTGAAATTTTATTGTTTTAATTAAATATAAGCTTTTCTCTTGAACAAAAAATATGAAAAATCATAAGTGCTATCTCTAAAATAGAAGCTTATAATCACACCTATAAATCAGATCAAAACGTATTTGCAAAAAGATAAATGGAGCGTTATTTTGAGTTTATTAAGTTTGTTATCTAAAATAAAATTGACAGAAACTTAAAGCAATCATTTTGTCCGGGTTTCGTAGTATTCTAATATTTATAATAAAAATAATAACTCTCAATTAAAAGTGATGCGAACAATCGTGTTTTACTTGTAGCACATATATTAAAAATGACGTTACAATTATTGCTGCATTCTGCCAGGTCAATTAATTTATTGAACGGACAATTTATTATTAATATACATATATATTATGAAATTATTGTTTTAATTATTAGTTTCAAGATAAAATGATTTTTAATATTTCAATTTTTCAAATTTGTGATAATGAACATTATACATATTTGTTCTAATATTTTTACCAATTTCCATTAACTATGCACTATGCGCGTAAAATATAAATTGCCAGACTCATGCAATATGAGCGAAAATAATTTTATGTTTCAGTATTTATCCTTTGTTGGAGTCCATACATAGTCTTTGACCTTCTTCAAGTTTATGGACACATACGAAAGACTCAAACAAATATCGCAGTCGCTACCTTTATACAAAGTTTGACACCGCTCAATTCGGCCGCTAATCCAATCATCTACTGCCTTTTTAGTACTCCTTTCTGCAAAACCGTACGGTGAGTATGTTAATTAAATGTATTGATGATTATTTCATATACATATAGTGCAATAGTTAATCTAACTTTTAAAGACGGATTTATTAAAAACTTGTTAAAAGCGCGATTTATTTAAAAGCGCTTTTTTTATATTTACGTGAGACGTAAACTTAAATTTCTGAAAGCATTGAATAGCAATGCTTTTAATACTCAAAATAAGTAATAAATCATTATATAATTAATGATCATGATTTTACAATTCAATCAACCAATATTAAATTGGATTTTATTAAGGTCTAATAACAAAATTTTAAGAGCAAAATTCTGTTTAAAAACAATCAGAATAGAAAGTAGAATATGTTTTAAACTTTCTAATGCCTCAAGTATCACTAATTCAAAACAATGTCCGCGAAGATGGTAACATTTCCTTAGCAATTTTTTGCCTCGGAATTTCTCCGTTAAACAGCACTTGTTGCTCGGTAGGAACATACAGGCAATCTCCTGGATTTCGGGTTGGTGCCCGACAAATTCGCAACACTGCTTCGGTACCGGAGCGACGACCAGCAGTACGAGGACGACTGTGACGACATCCTTGACGGCCCATTCCTCTCGCAGAAGCGGACACTTTACTATGTTGCATTCTACGTCGCGAAAACGCGTTATGGTCTCTCTAGTTTAAAAATGATGAAGTGATTTAAAAAAATTTAAGCGTACACAATTCTTCGTAAATGTTCTAGACCGATATTCGGAACAGACTTAGTGTAACTAAATCGCTTATAGTACTAGTAACTTGTTAGTAATTGAATCGATTATTACTTAAAAAAACGTAAGTTTCTTATTAATAATTAAAAAAAAATGAATAATTTATATTCCGGAAAACTTTATTTAAAAATACATAATGACCAAATATATGCAATTTGGAAAAATTATGCAAGCCAAATATTTTAAATTTTTCTGCATAATTTTTCCAAAAAAAGGAAGAACCAAATAACATGCGATTGCAAGAACTTTCTTACTATTGAAAAGTTTTTGCTTTTGTGATATGTGCTTTAACGTATTGCTTTTTTATATCTTTTTCGCAAAGATCAATTTTCACGGATTACAGAAATCTAGGCAAAAATGTATAAGGTACTTCTAATAATGCGTGACTATCGACTTGATATAACTTGACATAACAATTATTTTAATTTAAAAATAAGATTAACTGATAATCCAGTTAACAGTCTTGAATTGACGTCTCTTTAACTCGGTAATCGCACATAATAATATTATATTTCTATATAAACTAAAGTATATTGATTATTTATATAAATGGATGATCTCATACTACAAAATTTTACGTAACATGACAATTTTATTTTATCTATTGTATAAACTATAAGCGAAAATAAAAATGTTTATGTTATAATGATACTGTAGAGCCTTTCAATTTGATTAGAAGCAATCAGTAATTATACAGTTTTGTTGAAATTTATTAAAAATGATGTAAAACTGAAACAACAAACGTATATATTTAGCAAATTTAACATTGATAATTTTGAGAGAATATATACATATGCGTAGACATATGTCTGGACGTATATGTATACGGGTATTTCAAAACTATTATTATTATTATTATTGAAAGTTATAAGTACTAAAAAAATAGGTTAAAAGAACATCATTTATTTCGCATTTATGACTAAGTCATTATTCATTTCAAATTATAATCGATTAAAAATTCAATGTAGTTCAATTTCTTACAAATTAAACTTGAAAGTTATAAATAAATGACAGTTTTATTAGTTATTATTATATTCATGATGTGTATATATTAATAAGTAATTTCAATTTAGAAAATAGTTATACAAATATCTGTAATATTCAATATTGACTTTTTAAAATCCTACACTTTAGGAAGTTTTTAAGTAACGTATAAGAAATTTTAATTTTCCAAAATTCGTTAAAAATTTTCACATTAATTTTAATAAAATTTCTTCAAACAAAAAATTAATTTTATATAAATTACAAATTAGCCGTAGTTTTAAAAAAAGTTATTGTTCTGAAATACTTTATATATTATAGAATTATCGTACTTTATTGTGTAATAAGTATAGAAAGAGAATAAAAAAAAGGAATAAACAATGGGAGAGAAAAGGAATTTGAATCTTGTAGCAAATAAAAATTATGTAAAGGTAAATGAAACAACAAAAACAACTACTTTTTCATAATATTACCTGCGATGGATTTCCTATAACTTCCTCGCACCGTCCAATGCTAAAGGACTGATAAAGCTAGGCTGTTTTTTTTTTCTTAATATGTAGATTAAAGCGCGCAATGCTAAGTATTCTATTAACTATCGTGAATTCATTGTGCAATTATATATTTTTTAAGCTTAAAAATTACTTAAATGTTTTTCTTTATTCGAAAATGTGCTAAATAATATCAATTTTATATGTATATTAAGCACTATGATCGAGAAAACTGTGTAAGTTATCTATTATATTTCGTTCATAATTTAAATAAATATCTTAACATTTATATATAATGTTAATATATTATACTATTATATATTATTTGTTTATTTTTTCCAATCAGATATATGTAAACCTATTTCAAAAATATGTAAATTCGAAAAGCTCTTTTTTTTTCAGAAACAAAAATAGGTTTCGAAAAAAAGACCAAAATCATATAGTTATATCTATTTCTAAATTAAATGAAATAAACAAATATAAATAGTTCAAGTTAAAACTTATCGATATGTAAAGTAATATATAATTCAGATGTTTAATGAAATAGTTCTTTCAGAGATATATAAATTATTTACTTAAAACTATTTTTTTACAATAAAATAGATTGTATTGCATTCTTGCAATAATCATATTAGCTAGCATGAATCTAATTGTAATTCAGAGCTTATTTTCTTGATTACAATCAAAGAATGTTAAAATGATCATCATCATTTATAACTGTCTTCTTCTATAACTGTTCTTTTCACAGAAATTAGACATAGGAAACTGTTTAAGTCAAAAATATTCATAAGGTAATCTAAAATAACTGTGTATGCGTGTCAATAGAGTCACAAACATTGATATTAGTATTAAGAGAAACATTTAAAGTGCGATAATAATATATGTTTCCTGCTACTTGTGCTACTTGTGATTTATTAATCAAATTAGATAGATTTATTTTTCGGGCTCGATCGATTGTTAAAGATACCTTTTATACTCGACTGCTTTTGACATACATTTCATTTGCTTGCCGGGAATGTATAATAACTTCTTTCTTACATATATATTTTAAGAATCTATTATTTAAGAATCTATTAAAATCAAGTTGATTAACCTTAAGATATTGGATTCTGGGGTATCCTGCATATACGAACGAAAAGATAACATTCTCGAGGAAAACAAAAGAATATAAATTTTCGAGACCACTTGAGGATCGTTTAATTTGTATGTATTTCTTATGTATTTTTCTTTGTAGAAATCGAAAATAATTATTATAATAACGCCAGATTTAAGGAAAAATTGATTAAATAAAAATGATTAAAATAAAAATGAATAAAATTTATAAAAACTTATTCGCATCGTTATGAAATCACGGTCAGTTATGCCTCAACGATTAGAAATTAATTCCAAATTGGATCAAATGCAAGTAATATTGCACCATAAAACATTAATTAGATTATATTTCTCATTAGTACATTTGTTACAAAAAAATTAATAATCTTACCGCAAAATAAAATGAAAAGCAGTTAAAAACAGATAACCGAGATACTCAAAAGCTGCCAAACGACTATGGGCTGGAACAGACGAACGACTTTGTGGCGCAATAAACAAACGTCAATCTATTCACACAAACATAAAGTCTATGAATATGTCACTTGTTTGTCGCGCCACAAAGTCATTCGTCTATTCGAGCCCTAAGACGGAAAGCTATTCGAGCCCTAAGACGGAAAGCACTGATTCTTACATAAAGTATAACACAGAATGCATAAAATGAACCAATCTTTTATTTCCTTCCTTTCCATGAAATGAAGGACTCTGATTGATTTTCTTATGCCTCATGTTTTATGAGTCATGCAAGAGTCTGTGCTCCCCGCTTTATAACACGTACAGCTTACGGCAGACGCGCGATGTTTAGAGTGAGGGAAACGGTATCGAGATGACAAACGATATAATGAGAAATATAATCCAATTAACGTTTTGTGATGCAATATTACTTGCATTTAATCCAATTTGGAATTAATTTAGTCTAAATCATTGAAGCATAACTGATTTTAACAATGATTTCATAACGCGATGTTGAAATATAAATAAAATCCTTAAATCTCTCTCTCTCTCTCTCTCTCTCTCTCTCTCTCTCTCTCTCTCTATAT